ACTAATAATTATAGTAATAATGATAATAAGAAGAATACGACAACTAAGAATAATAATAATAATACTAATAATAATAAGAATAATAATACTAATAATAATAAGAATACTAATAATAAGACAAATAATAATAATACTATTATTAATAATATTATTAATAATATTATTAATAATAGTACTACCACTAATAATACTAGTAGTAGTAGTAATAATAATATTAGTAGTAGTAATAATAATACTAATAATAATGATAATAATAATAACAATAATAAGAATAATAATAATAATAAGAATAATAAGAATAATAATCATAAGAATAAGAATAAGAATAATACTAATAATATTAATACTAATAATAAGAAGAAGAATAATAAGAATAATAAGAATAAGAATAAGAAGAATAAGAAAGAGAAGACTAATAAGAATAAGACGAAGAATAATACTAATAATAATAAGAATAATAATAATAATAATAATAAGAAGAATAATAATCAGAATAAGAAGAATAATAAGAAGACAAAAAAGAATAATAATAATAATAATAATAATAATAATAATAATAATAATACTAATAATAATACAAATAATAATAATAAACGAGCAGCACATTCTGCCCCTGCCGCTGGCGGCGGCGCCGCCGGCGGTCCGCGACGACGACGGCGGCGGCGACGACGGCAGCGGCGGCGGCGGCGTCGGCGACCGCCTCGGTCGTGCGGCCGCAGAGGGGCCGCCGGCGCCCGCGGGGGCCCATCCGGTGGGGAGCCCTGGACGGCGAAGCGCCCGGCGGCTGCGTCAGGCGGCGCCTGCGCGAGGTTGGGTTCGTCGGCCCCAGACCCCCTCGAGTCATGAAACAATCACCACGGAAGGTTTTTCTATATTTTCCGCCTCCGGGGGCCCTCACTGGCCCTCGGGACCGTCAACAAAACAGCTCAGGATGAAAAACCGGTCCCGGCGAACAGGTCCAGACGTCTGGGGGTCGCGTCATGAAAAAATCATGACGTCGGGGGTCTGGGTACCAGAGGTCCGAGGGCACTGTTTTTTCAATCTGGCCGTTCTCCCGGATTCGGCCTCGGGGGCCCGTGGTTGCGCCCGGGGGCCAGCAGAAGAGGGTCCGGGGCGGAACGCCGCCCCCGGGGAGGGGGTCGGGCGCCCTCCTGGGGGCCGCGGTTGGACAGGCCAGATCGGCGGACGCCTCGGCTTTCTGCGCGGCGCACGGACGAGGAGAGGTGCCGCGCCACCTTCGGCCCTCTCCAGAGCAGGCGGAGAAGGGGGGGGCGGGGGAGGACGAGGAGGCTGCGGCGCTCCCACTTCGGGCTCAACGAGCTCGGGGGAGGGTGGGGGCAGCGCCGCGTCCGCCGTGCAGCTACCGGGGGTCTCCCCTTCGTCGCCTTCCTCCTGGCATTAAGTCGGGCCTGTCCCCCTACAGGGGGATTCTCGACGAAAAAAAATATATACCCCAAACATGCCCCAAGAAGGCCAACAAAATATTCAAAAAATAGTCCCCGGACTATTTTTTTGGACCATCTTTTGGCGATTTTTGGGGTATTTGTTGGGCGTGGTGCTGGGCGCTCGGCTTCCCTGCCCTCCCGGCGCCGCTGCCGCGTGCTCCTGGCGGCGCGGGCGCCCGCGCGCGGGTCTCGAGGCACCCGCGCGCTCCGCCCAGACGCACGACGCTGCGCTTACGTCGGGCGTGTCCCCCCTACGGGGGGATTTTCGACGAAAAGTAAAAAATACACCAAAAATGTTCCAAAATGGCAAAAAAAATTCAGAAAATAGTCCCCAGACTATTTTTGGATTGTTTTTGGACCACTTTTGGTGTATTCTTTATTTCTCGTCGAAAATCCCCCTGTAGGGGGACAGGCCCGACTTAACGCTGCGCCTGCCGGTGGTGCAGAGGCCCTCTTCTCGGTGCGCGTCCGGCGACCCCGGTGCGGCGTCGCGCCGGGGACGTGGGACCCAGACCCCCTCGAGTCATGAAAAAATCACGACGGAAGGTTTTTCTATATTTTCCGCCTCTGGGGGCCCTTACCGGCCCTCGGCACCGTCAACAAACAACTCAGGATGAAAAACCTGTCCCGGCGAACAGGTCCGGACCTCTGGGGGTCGCGTCATGAAAAAATCATGATGTCGGGGGTCTGGGGAGGGGGCCGTGCTGTTTCAGGAGGCGGCGGGGCTTTTCGGGAGCCCCCCGGCCTCCTGTTGCCGGCTCCCATGCCAGGACCGCCAGGAGCGACCGGCCGACTGCTTCCGCCGAGGGGGCGGTGCAGCTCGCAGGTGGGAGCAGGCGGGCAAGGCATGGGCGACGTGCTGAAGGCATCCGCTTCCGTGCACGTTCTTCACCCACTGCTCACTCGCTGTGGCCGGCGCAAGTCTTCTGGACTGGACTGGTCCAGCCTGCTGGAGACCCTTCTCTGTCTTCGGAGAAGGCTCAGGGAGCTTTGCCGGAAGGCGGACGCCTTCCAGCTTTCTGGGAAGGCCCGCCCCCTCTGCCTTGTCCCTCAGGCGCGCCGCCGAACCTTGTGGACAGGGGTCAAGCAAGCACCGTGAGAACCTTTGGCTCGCACGCGCGCCTGATGCGGCCACATGGGTCGCGTGTCCTACAACGGCAGGAGCCGTGAGCAGGATGCGGCATTGAAGAGATTACCGGTGAGCCCACCCTGCGTCGGCGTGCAAGAGCTGTGCACGCTGCTTGACCCAATGCCAGAGCGCACAACGCAGCTTGGCTCTGCATCGTTGGCCCACTTGGAATTCACCACCGCCGCGTCGTGTCAGGGTCGCACACGGGGCGCTCATCCCTGCAAAGACCCGCAGTCGCTTCGCGGGGTACCAGAGAAACTCAGTTGGATCAAGATCCTCCAACACCCTGGGACTGCCTCAGCCGTCGTGGTCCGTGTCGATGGAAGGAGCGGGAGGTGTGCAGACACCCGATGCCTCGAGTTTGTCAGAAGCCTTGACCTGTTCCCCAGGGCCGGCTCGCTCGGCCTTGGTCGTTCTCTGTCGGCCCCGGGGCCCGGCGAGCGCCCACAGAGGTCAGAAGTTGTGAACATTTTCCGCTCTGTCTTCGGCGTCGACATTAATTTAATTCAGTGTGTGTGTGTGTGTGTGTGTGTGTGTGCGTCGCCCCCCCAAGGAGCGACCTGCGCGCCGAGAAACCGTATAGTGCAGGCTCCGCGGAGGGCGCTTTCTGGCCATACCGCTCGGGAAAGGCTATACTACAACATGGTGAAACTACATGTTCGGGTCGGACTCACGCCTTCAAGGAAGATGCATCGTACTAGTATGTCCTTGTTCGGCGGCGAGCGAGGGGGGAAGGTGAGAAGGAGAAGGCCTTCTCAGAAGGCGGCGGGACTTCTCAGAAGCCCTCGCGCCTTTGAGAAGTTCTCCGTGTCTTCGGGGAACGCCTTGGAAACTTCCCAGACGTCCGGGAGGGGACTTGCGAGCCTTCGGAGGAGGCCTTCTGCTTCTCTCCCCCCCTCGCCCACCGCCAAGCAGGGACCTCAAGACCGCGCTGCCGTTGGCAGCCCCTTGGCGCGTTGCTCCTCCGTTCCTGTGCCACGGCATGGGGGCACTTCTACGGGGCGTGAAAACGACCACAGCCACTGCTCTTCTTCTGCTGCCGCCTTCAGCCCGCAGAAACAGAGCAGTGGCTGTGGCCATTTCCGTCGGGCTTGGCACCAGGGAACTGACCACAGCCACTGCTCCTTCTTCGGCCGGCTGGAGGGCGGCGCAGACAAGAAGCAGTGGCCGTGGTCATTTTCCCGTCTCGCACCTTCGGCGGCAGTGCGCTGGTGAGTCCCCCACCGGTGGCGTGCCGCTGGCACGGTCTCGGCTCCCCCGGCCTTCCGCCGCCCTCGGCCCGTCCTGGCTCCTCCTCCTCCTCCCCTCCTCCTCCTCCTCCTCCTCCCCTCCTTCCCTCCTCCTCCTCCTCCTCTCTCCTCCTCCTCCTCCTCCTCCTCCTCCTCCCTCCTACCTCCTCCTCCTCCTCCTCCTCCCCCCCCCCCGCGCGCGTCCCTCTCGGCTGGCCGTCTTCGCAGCCTCGCTGTGCCTCCCTCCCCTGCACGCCGGACAGTGCTCCTCGTCGGTGGCCCCGGGTTCGCCCCCCGCCGGTGCGGGCTGCCTCTGCCTCGCCGCCGACGAGAGAGATGTGCTTCCCTCCCTTCCTGCCGTTGGGCTCCCGCTCCCAAGCGGCTCGCCCTCACACGCGTTTTTTTTTTTTGTGTGTGTGTGTTTTGATGTTTGCGCATCCTGGACCTCACAGTCCCAGGGAACGACTCTGGCTGAACAGTCCGTCCCAGGCTGGGGCCGACTCTTCCGCCTGAGCCGTGTTCGTGGACCGTCCCCGGGCCCGGTGAGGACCCCCTGCCTGCTCGAATCTCGACCCTCGAACCTCGATTTTTGAACCTCGACCCTCGAATCACAAACCTCCATCCTCGAACCTCCATTCTCGAACCTCGACCCGTTGAACCTCGGATCCTCGAAGCTCCACCCTTGAACGGTCGACCCTCGGTGCATCTCGGCTCCTCGACCCTCGAGGGCCTTCGGTCCTCGGACCTCGCGTCCTCGATCCCCGATCCTGCATCCTCGAGCCCCCCAGCATCGATCCCCGAACCTCGGAGCCCCGACCCTCGCGCCCCGGACTCCGCGGAGGCCGAGCGCGAGGAACAGAAACCCGTCGTGGTCTGTGTGAAGGCGCTGCAGGTCTGGAGCTGCGCCATCGCGCACCCACCCCCGCGAGCGGCCGCTGCGTCCTGGCGAGACGTGCCCCACCGGCACAGGCGCAACGTCGGCAGGCATTACGTCGGGCGTGTCCCTCTACAGGAGGAAGATTCAAGAACAGTCAAACATAGTCAGGGGACGCTTTTGCGACCATTCTCGGGCTATTTTTGGTCCTTCTGCCAGCATCCCCCTGCAGGAGCACATGCCCGACCTAAACCAAGCAGCGTCCGCCGAGCTTGTCTCACGCTTCCTTGGGGGGGGGGCTGCCTCCCCGCCTCGCAGGCACGATGGTGGTGATGTCCTACCCGCTGGAGTACCTGAAGACGCAGATGCAGCTCCAGTCGAAGGCCAACCCGGAGTACCACGGAATGGTCGGGCCGCGGGAGCCTCCCGCCCTGCTCGATGCCATCGAGGGGGGGGGGGAAGAGCGGTGGGGGACGCGGCGCGGTGGAGGGGACGAGGGAGGTGTTGAGGAAGGCCCCTCGCGCGTGCCGTGCGATGAGACGTGCTCGGTGCATAGAGAGGGAAGGGGGGGGGGGGGCGAGAAATTGGGAGGATGAGGGGGAGAACGGAGGGGAAGGAACAAGGGGGTAGGATTGGCGGAGGGAATGGGCGGGGCGCATGGAGAGGAGGATGGGGCGAGGAGTGAGGCAGGGGGTGGACGAACGGAGAGAGGGAGGAGAAACGGGGGAGGAGAGAAGTGGGGGGTGGGGGACGAACGGAGAGGAGGGGGAGGGGGGGAAGAGTGAATGGGGGGGGACTGGAGCAGAGGAGGGGGCGAAGAGTGAGGTGGGGGCAGGAGCGACAAAGGACGCGGAGGAGGAGGAGGAGGAGGAGGAGGAGGAGGAGGAGAGGAGTATGAGGAGGAGGAGGGAGGAGGAGAGGAGGAGGAGGAGGAGGACTTGCCCCACTGCCGGAGCCCTGCCTGGGACTGTGCCGCGCCTGCCCTCTGCCCACGGCGTCGGCGCAACGCGGCCCACCTGGGGGCGCACGACCGAGACCGAGGCCGAGGAGGAGGAGGAGGAGGAGGAGGAGGAGGAGGAGGAGGAGGAGGAGGAGGAGGAGGGAGGAGGAGGTAGGCCTTGCCCCTCTGCGGAGCCCTGCCTGTGACTGTGCCGCGCTGCCCTTTGCCCGCCGGCGTCGGCACACGCGCGGCCCTACCTGGGGGCGCACGACCGAGACCGAGGCCGGGAGGAGTGAGGAGGAGAGGAGGAGGAGGGGAGGAGGATGGAGGAGGAGGAGGAGGAGGCCGTAGGAGGAGGAGGAGAGGAGGAGGAGGAGGAGGAGGAGAGGGAGGAGGAGGAGGAGGCAGGAGGAGGGAGAGGAGGTGGAGGAGGAGGAGCGACCGGAGACCGAGCCCGAGGCCTGTAGGAGGAGGAGGAGGAGGAGGAGGAGGAGGAGGAGGAGGAGGAGGAGGAGAGTCGAAGCTAGCCCGCGATTTCAGCAGCAGTGGCGGCGGACGGCTGGAGTCGCCGGGGGCCCCACGTCGTGCGCGCCGGCGACCTCTCCCGTGGCCGGCCGCCGCCGCGGCGACTCCCTGCTGCCCTCCTGCCGCGGTCGCTTCTTCGGAGCGCGGCTGCGCCAGCGGTGCCACGTCCTCCCCCGCCTGCTCCTCCTGCTGCTGCTGCTGCTGCTCCTCCTCCTCCTCTCTTTCTCTTCCCTCCTCTCTTCGCCTCCTCAATCTTCGGACCCCTCCCCTTCTCCTTCTCCTCCTCCCCTCCTACTCCTCCTCCTCTCATATCCCTCTCTTTCTCCTCCTCTTCCTCCTCCTCCTCCTCCTTCTTCCTTCTCCTCCTCCTGCTCTCCTCCCCCATCCTCCTCCTCCTGCTCCTGCCTCACTCTCCTCCTCTCCATCCTCCTCCCTCTTCCTTCCTCCTCCTCCTCTTTCCCCATTTCTCCTTTCCCCTCCTCCCTCCTCCCTTCTCCCTCCTCCCTCCTCCTTCCTAATCCCTCCTCCTTCTCCTCCTCCTCCCTCTCCTCCTCCTCTCTCTTCCTCTCTCCTTCCCTCCTCATTTTTTCCCCTCCCTCCTTCCTCCCTTACTTCCTCCTCCCTCCCTCCCTACCTGCCTCCCTCCCTCCCTCGCTCCCTCCCTCCCTCACTCCCTCGCTCCTGAGTAGCTGTTGCCTGTCGCACCCCCAGACGTGTGGGTAGGGCGGGCCGGGCGTTTCGCTTGAGACGTCCCCGTCATTTCTGATTATGCAACTGGAAAATTACAGAAGCTTCAAGGATGGATGGCGGTTCGTTTTTAGCATGTGGCTGTCGCTTTAGCACCGCGCGCATTTGTTTTACCGCGTCCTGATGTTTCGGGGATGATTTCCTGGCACGGTTTAGGATGGTCAAGACGCAACCGTCACGTGGATGCGCTGTGCTGATGGCCCAGGAC